TCCCAAAATTGGAAAAAAAAAAAAAAAAATCTCGGATTTGGATCGGCTCTCTCTGACCGATACCGAGAAAAATGGCACTATCGGAGCCGATACCCGATATGAATATCGGATCGGCGCATCCCTATTTATTGCATGGGAGGCGTGCTACAAGTAATGTTTAGTCTAGTTTTATTGAATTTATGTAGGCTACTCCCGTTTTTATAGCTTGGTGAAAGTCATACTGATGTGAGGTTATAATGATTGATTTTTTTTTTTCTGGAATCTTAGTAGTTATGTAGATGAAAAACATATTAATTAATGCATAATAAGCCTCAGTGTTTTTAACAAATGGTTGAGTGACTCACTCATAACACGAAGGCTTGTTATCACCTGCTGCCATAATAATGTAATTTGTCGAAAGGGCCATTGAATTATTCAGTGAAATATTTTATTGAACACATAAAAGTTTTGAGTCACTGAGATGAATCAAAATGAAACGACTATTATTGTTTACTTTGTGGAAGTTGGAGATGGGAGTGGTGGCGGCGGCGGCTCTTATCACACTATTCATACGGCAGCTGTGGAATGTCAACAATGCACTTCCGCAAACAGGCAGTGAGCACATGGGGAGATCATTAAAACTGTTTTCAGTGCAGCAGTTTTCTCCATATTTATAGATGTGTATATATGAAAGCTTTCAGAAAATCCTCCCTGGCTGTATAATCGATCTTTTCCTCATGCTCTTCTGTTTGCTCACGGTTCACACAGTGCACGTGACTCATCGCTCGTCTGTCCATATGGATTATTTATAAGATGACGCAGAAGGCCCGTGCTGTCCCTGCAGAGAGACTTTAATCGAGAGCTTGATCATCCTCTCATGAATGCCACTCTGTCTCACGATGGGCAATATGACGGCCATTTTCCAGACAATATGTCAAATTAAAAGTAATTTTCTGCAAGATTTGTGAGAATTTCTGCCCTCCTCCTTACAGACTGACTTTTACGTACTGTTAACGCTGGGCATTTGTTCAGCTGGCATAAATAAGTTAATGACGCATAATCCTGTTTAGTGACGTGTTGGACTTGAACTAATGGGTAACATGTTATACTCCTCCAGCAGATTACACAGTTAAAAGTGCTGTAAAGTCGTAATGGAGTGAGGTTTTTGAATGGCTGATAATGATATCTAGAGAGAAGAATGGTCATTTGAGAATGTAATCATGATATAATACCTCTAGGCTATATCATCAGACTGTTTTAACTTAGGGGCCGTTTACACGACAACGTTTTCAGCCAAAAACGGTAAACTTTTTATGCGTTTTGCCTGTTCGTTTACACGACAACAGCGTTTTGGGGACTGAAAATGCATATTTTTGAAAACGGGTTTCAAAGTGCAAGTTTTTGAAAAAAACTACGTCATGCGCGTGCGTAGTACGTGTTAGGTATCAGAATCAGAAAGAGCTTTATTGCCAAGTATGTTTGCACATACAAGGAATTTGTTATAGTGTCACAAGCTTCCAGTACACGGAGACAACAACAACAACACAGATAATAAAAATGAGATGTGAATAAAATACACATGCATAAATATAAACCACAAAAAAAAAAGAATAAATTGTATGTACAGGTGTGCTATAGATGGAATAGGAATAGAATAAAATAAAATAAGTTGTAGGAATGTACTAGGGTTTAGGGTGATAAATAGGTATAAGGTTATTGCACATACTTTAATTGCACAATGGGAGAACATTAACTGTTCATGAGGCAGATTGCCTGGGGAAAGAAACTGCTCTTGTGCCTGGCTGTCCTGGT